ACCGACTCTTCTGATTTTGCTACTGGGGCTGTTCTATCAATTAAATGCCCTGACAATCTTTGGAGGGCTTGTCCCCATTTACTGCATAGTTTGTCGTCTACAGAGTGCAACTATCAAATTTACAATAAAGAGATACTGGCTATCATTAGAGCTTTAGAGCACTGGCAGCACTACTTAGAAGGTGCTAGGCACCAATTTGAAATTTGGACTGATCATAAGAATCTGGAGTATTTTATGACGGCCCGAGATTTGAACTGGAGACAGGCCTACTATGCGGTGTACTTGTCTAGGTTTAATTATAAATTAATTCATAAGCCTGGAAGTTGTATGGGGAAAGCGGATGCTTTATCCAGAAGAGAGGATCATGCCAACAGCATAGAAGATGACAACAAAGGCGTCACCCTGATAGACCAATCAAGGGTTGCCAATGTTAGAATCGGGCAAGATTCCGATCTTCTGGAAGTCTTCAAGAAAGATATCTCCTCAGAAGAGAAGGCATGCCTTGACGGCAATGAGAACTATTTATGGAAAGATGGGCTCTTCCATTTTAAAGACAAAATCTATGTGCCTGGGTCTGCAAGGATCAAGGCAATAGATAGACATCACAACACTCCAGTGGCTGGGCACCCTGGGTGGCAACAAGCAATGGAGTTGATCTCCAGAAACTACATGTGGCCTGGCATGGTCAAAGATGTACAGGAATACGTAAAATCCTGTCTGAGATGTGCTATGGCAAAGAATTCACATCAACAGCCAGCCAGTAAACTTATGCCAAATCCGATACCAGCTGGTCCCTGGCAGGATATATCGGTTGACTTTACAACGGATCTACCCGAGTCAAATGGGTATGATTCAGTAATGGTGGTAGTAGATCGCTTCTCCAAAGAAGTGGTATTTATACCCACCAACAAAACCATTACCACCGCTGGTACGGCAGATTTATCTAAAGATTTTGTATGGTCTATCCATGGATTGCCGGAAACGGTTATCTCCAATAGAGGACTGCAATTTGCTAGCAAGTTTACGAAAGAGTTATGCTGGATGCTGGGCATCAAACCTAAATTATCAACGGTGTTCCATCCACAGACTGATGGACAAACGGAGAGGCTCAATCAGGAATTGAAGCAATACCTCCAGATATTTAGACAATAAACAGACAGATTGGGCCAAGTGGCTAAAGATAGCCCAGTTCTCATATAATATTAAACAGTCGTCGGCTACAGGAAAGGCACCATTGGAGGTGACAAGATTGTACCTCCCCAGAATGGGTGTAGAACCTGGCAAAAGCAAAAACGAGGCTGCTGAGAACATGGTCAAAGACATGATGTAACAACCAAGAGTTAGTTACTCTGGCACACACAGGAACACACTATAAAGGTAGTGATGGGGGAGTGGTTACCCCTTAAGCTGCAGAGAGTTTGTTGGTATACAACAGGAGGACTTGCTGAGGAGTCTCCTTGATCTATTGGGGTATTTATACTAATACAGAGTGTTTGTACCTATGTACTGTACAGTTGATAAAAGCAGTGGCTGATAATGTCATGGGGCCTAGCCCGCATGACCAGCTCCACTGTGTGAGAGAGTTTGTGTCTAAAAGAAGAATAGAGGCAGCGCTGCGCGAGAAGGTGGAGTTAGAACGAAAAGGAAAGTGCCGCTGTCGATGATGAGAACTGCTGTTAGAAAACCACACACAAAACAAACTAACACACAATCCTCCCAGATTCCATGGAACTTGTTTATGGGCTTTGCCTCCTAGAACAGTGGGTGCTCTGGTTGTTTGTGGGGTGGTATGTATGAAGATTCTTCAAAGTAAAACCCAGAGATGTATGAGTGTGGGTTTTGAGGAGGAGGGATAGTTGAATTTATAGAAGATAGGGGCTTAGTGACAAGTATAGATAAGCACTACCTTGCTGATCGTAGCACAAGGTAGGTTTGAGAACAACAATATGACGAGGTTCCCAGTGATAGCAGGCTCCTGACGCACAAACTGTGGTGCTCAGAAGGACTCTAATTGAAAGGGATGACAGTGACTTTCAAAAATGACGAGTGACAATGACAGCAGATAGTAGTGGTAGCAGTGGGAAGTATTGTGACCACACTGGATCACAAGTAGCAGAGTGGTGAACTTGAGAGTAGAGAAGAAGTCTGGATTGGAGTTCTTGTTTTTTTTTTTACAAGGTAAAATACAGGGGTTTATATAGTAAAAGAAAAGTAGGCTATGCACAGTATAGCTGTGCAAAAAGAATGAGAAAGAACATGAAGGAAGGAATGTATGCTGACAAATCCTGCGTAGGTAGTACAGGATAAGATTGTCAAAAAAAGGAAAAGAAAGGGATAGAACAATAAATGCTGTGAGTAATGTCACAGGTTTGTACAGCCATAAAGTAAAGTCCAATAGCAAAAAGAGAGCAGGAAAATCATGATGTCATGGGAAGATGCAGTAAAAAAAAAGGGCAAGGCAAAACACTATCAGTATCAACACAGTTCCTTTATTGTCAGTCAGGCATTCTAAAAAATATGTGTCCATAAAAATGATTCAAAAATCAAAAATAATTGCACTGTAAATGAATGTTCTGCTGAAGAAAAAGAAACTGGAGCCACCGGTCCACCACCTAGTCCAAATCCGACAGTTCCATGGCCTTACCAATGGACTGGTTGTGTTGGACCACCTGGTCAAACGAGGGAGGGAGGGGAGTAGTTCCAATTTGGAACAAGTGAGTCCCAGGCAGCGTGTGGTAGGTGTAGCTGTAGTGAAGACGATGGACAAAAGATAAGTGTACCCAAGTGAATGGGACAGCAATGAACATGGGCGACGCAAGGGGATGAACCTTCTCCAGCTCAAAAACTACCCACCCACGCTCCAACCAGGCAAGACGAGCAACTGATGTTTTGATAGTATATGATGGCAGATCGACGTCATGAAGATGGACCTGTTGCCCTATTTGGACCAGCCGCCGGGGCTTTGCTGATATCAGCAGTGGCACGTGGTAGTCAACGGATCGGCGACGGAAGCGGATAGGAAGTGGTGACATCAGAAATGGTGGGGGTGCAAATAAGATGAGGAGGAGGAGGGTGGAGGTGATGGAAAAGTGGATTAGAATGGGGATCCAGAAACGACCATCAGGTGAGAATAAAAAGGAGAGGAAGGGGCCCATGGTGGGGCTAGGCAAAGGAAGGGGAGTAAGGGAAACGACAAAAGCGAGGGTGCAATGCAATGTGTAGCCAGTGGCAACGCGAAAATTTGCCGAAATGCCGAAATGCGGAAAGTACCGGATGGAAAAGCAAAGGTGAGCGTGACTGGATTGCCTAATAGAGGTGATGCTGATCAGCCACAAGTTCGAAAAAGGCAATATTAATTACTATTCCACGTGGCACTGTGCCTGTGTGGCGCAAATGCGAGTCTTTTGAATATTTGCTTCATTATTGACACCTGTCCATGCTACCAATCAACTTTGGTGCATGACACCGCATGGCACGGAGTGTGAACTATAGTAAAAGGTTAAAGCGGAGAATGAAAATTAAAGAAAGGTCCGAAAATTGTGTTATCGTAACACATGAAGTCTGTCTTGGACAAAACGCGCAAGGTGCTATTTAAAACTGCAGAGCAGATGAAAGACAGGGCAGAACGTAGATGCTCTAAGGCCCCTGACTACAAGGTCGGCGACCTGGTCTGGTTAGACACTGACCACTTGAAGTTAAAAGACCGGCAGTCTAGAAAACTGACCGAAAAGTGGATTAGGCCTTACCGGATTAAGGAAGTCAAACCCAATGCAGTGGAGCTGGAACTCCCAAAACAAATGAGGGTAGTACCCACAGTTAATATTAGCCATGTGAAACCCTACAAAGGGCCGCTGCCGGGACAGCACGTAGACCGGCCCAGATGTAACAACCAAGAGTTAGTTACTCTGGCGCACACGAGAACACACTATAAGGGTAGTGAACGGGGAGTGGTTACCCCTTGAACTGCAGAGAGTTTGTTGGTTGACAACAGGAGGACTCGCTGAGGAGTTTCCTGGATCTATTGAGGTATATATACTACTACAGGGTTGTTTGTACATGTGTACTATACAGTTGATAGAGACAGTGGCTGATGATGTCATGGGGCCTAGCCCGCATGGCCAGCTCCACTGTGTGAGAGAGTTGTGTCTAAAATAAGAAGAAAGGCAACATGGCACGAGAAAAAGGAGTTTGGACAAAAAGGGGAAGTGCCGCGTGGCACCATGTGTGAAAGCTAAAGTACAAGGTTAAAGCGGAGAATGAAAATAAAGGAAAGGTCCGAAAATTGTGTTATCGTAACACCAGACCGGTTGTAGTCACCCAGGAAGGTGAAGAAGAGTTTGAAGTTGAATGAGTGGTGAATGCATGCTTGAAGTGTGGAAAATTAGAGTTTCTAGTCCTATGGAAGGGCTATGGAGACGAGGACAGAACATGGGAACCAGAAGCCCATCTGGACAATTCCCGCGATGCTGTTCCCGGATTTTATTCTAAGAATCCCTCGGCTCCTAGGAAGCTTAGAGGCATGGATTTGAACTTTTTTAATTCCCTTTTTTAACCTATGCCCAAAAATCTAACTACTACCTCAGGTACTTGGTCTCGCCTGGAAGTTGAGCCTTAGAGGGGGTAGTGTTACAATAACACATTTTTGGACCTTTAATTTTCATTCTCCTCTTTAACTTTTTACTGTAGTTTTCACACTCCGTGCCATGCGGCACTTTCCTTTCTGTTCAAACTCCACTTTCTCACATTGTGCTGCTTTTCTTCTATTTTTAGATACAAGCCTCTCACGCAGTGGAGCTGGTTACACGGGCTGCGCCCTCTGACATCATCAGCCACTGCCTTCATCAACTGTATAGTACATATGTACAAACAAACCTGTAGTAGTATAAATACCTCAATAGATCAAGGAGACTCCTCAGCGAGTCCTCCTGTTGTATCCTCACAACTAACTTGTTGAAGTCTAAAGGGTAACCACTCCCTCATCATTATCTCTATAGTTGGTTCTAGTTGTGCGCCAGAGTAACAAACTCTTGGTTGTTACAGATGCTATCTAATTTATCTCCTACCTTGAAGCCAAGCTGCTCCAGCCCACTCTGAATGCTTTCACCAAGGCCATACAGCCCACAGATGTCTGAAATACTGAGGATTTCCACTGGAGGTGATGAAAGACGTTGTTTCTCGTCATGGTTTGCTTTGTGGGAGCTTGTGGGAGGCATAACAGGGCTCCAAGGTAGGCCTGTCTCACTGAATTCCATCTTCATTGGCATACCGGTGCCTGGAATTCCATAGTTGATCGGATAGGGCAAAAATGGGGTGTTGTAGTAGAAAAAGGGTGGATAACCAAATACATTGGGGGTAGGAGATTTTACTGGGGTAGACACAGTTTTGATTGGTGTAGAAGTGGTGCTGGCAGATGACAATTTTATAGCTGGCTGATAAATTTTCAGTGCATGTTCAGACTTAGAAAAAATTAGTGCCAATTGGCATTTTCTCGAGTGTTGCATCACCTTGCTTGATAGCTTATGCCCAGACAATGCAGCAGGGGCAAGTCATTTCAAAGTGGAGGTTGCTAGAACAGTGGTGGAAATAAGCTATTGTCTTGTGCTTGTCACAAAATCCAGGCTTGTGTTTACCCTGTAGTACAGTAACGAGCTCCTCTATTGCATCATCCATCTTATTTTGCGGAGGTCATGAAGATGCAAAACAAAGAATAAACAATTACACACCTTTTTTGAGATACACCTGTCCTCAAGATCCCAATTGTACTCATCCTCACTTTCAGGAGGTGTTAATGCAGATGCTTGGGCGGGACATGATGATACAGCACTGGGTAACTCTGATAAAGTGGCTGTACCCCCATCTACGACTGCATTCATTGAGATGATGATGTATGGTTTTAGTGTCGCTGCTTTAGTGATGACTTGGCCGACCAATGAGGCAAATCCCTCTTTTGTTGACAGTGGCAACCAGGAGTAATTTCTGGGCATGAGTTATTTCCATTTGAAGCTGGAGATTGGAAGAGAGCGGGGGTGTTTCAACATGAGGTCAGCAATAGTGGTGAGGAAATCATCCCAAGGTGATTTAATGTTGATAGGATTTTCTATATTTTTATTTTTATTTTTACCAGAATCAAGCACCCTAGTGTTTGTCTCGCCGGGGCCACACTCCAAGGGAGACGCTGGTGCAGTGGTAGCATCATAAATTTTACAGTTACAGTTTTGCATACAAGTACATACTTCTGATAACAAATTGAGAAATTTATTTACAAATTTGGGAGCCACCCCCTTTCCTTCATTGCTCATGCAACACCCCAGAGCAGGGGCCACCTTGTTGTGGTTTACTTCATTGTTAAGAGGAGCAAAGGCACCCAAGTGACCTAAGCTCTGAACTCTTTTCCCTGAGCCTTCATCTCAGCAACCTGTTGGTCATAAAAGAAGGCTTGGATTTTGTCGTACGAACGACCAGCCAGAGTATTGAGCCGATCGTCTGGCTTCTCCATTTCTAATTAGTGCGCCTGGTGCCCTTGGTTATTTTTTTGTTGGGCGGTGTTGATGATGAGAACTGTTGTTAGAAAAAAACACACACAAAACAAACTAACACACAATCCTCCCAGATTCCACGGAACTTGTTTATGGGCTTTGCCTCCTAGAACAGTGGGTGCTCTGGTTGTTTGTGGGGTGGTATGTATGACAATCCTTCAAAGTAAAACCCAGAGATGTATGGGTGTGGGTTTTGAGGAGGAGGGATAGTTGAACTATAGAAGATAGGGGCTTTTTGAGACGAATATAGGATGAGCACTACCTTGCTAATTGTAGCACAAGGTAGGTTTGAAAACGACAAGATAACGAGGTGACGTGGTTCCCAGTGATAGCAGGCTCCTGACGCACAAACTGTGATGCTCAGAAGGACTCTAATTGAAAGGGATGATAATGACTTTCAAAAATGACGAGTGACAATGACAGCAGATAGTAGTGGTAGCAGTGGGAAGTATTGTGACCACACTGGATCACAAGTAGCAGTACGAAGTGGACTTGAGATTAGAGAAGAAGTCTGGGTTGGAGTTCTTGTTTTGTTTTTTTACAAGGTAAAATACAGGGGTTTATATAGTAAAAGAAAGAGAGGCTATGCACAGTATAGCTGTGCAAAAAGAATGAGAAAGAACATGAAGGAAGGAATGTATGCTGACGAATCCTGCGTAGGTAGTACAGGATAAGATGGTCAAAATAAGGAAAAGAAAGAGATAGAACAATAAATGCTGTGTAAGTAATGTCACAGGTTTGTACAGCCATAAAATAAAGTCCAAAAACAGAAAAAAAGCAAGAAAATCATAAAGTCATGGGAAGATGCAGTAAAAAAAGGGCAAGGCAAAACACTATCAGTATCAACACGGTTCCTTTATTGTCAGTCAGGCATTCTAAAAAAATATGTGTCCATAAAAATGATTCAAAAATCAAAAATAATCGCACTGTAAATGAATGTTCTGCTGAAAAAAAGAAACTGGAGCCACCGGTCCACCACCTAGTCCAAATCCGACAGTTCCATGGCCTTACCAATGGACTGGTTGTGTTGGACCACCTGGTCAAACGAGGGAGGGAGGGGAGTAGTTCCAATTTGGAACAAGTGAGTCCCAGGCAGTGTATGGTAGGTGTAGCTGTAGCGAAGATGATGGACTAAAGATAAGTGTACCCAAGTGAATGGGACGGCAATGTACATGGGCAACGCAAGGGGATGAACTTTCTCCAGCTCAAAAACTACCCACCCACACTTCAACCAGGCAAGACGAGCGACCGATGTTTTGATGGTAAATGATGGAAGATTGATGTCATGAAGATGGACCTTTTGCCCGATTTGGACCGGCTGCCGGGGCTTTGCTGATATCAGCAGTGGCATGTGGTAGTCGACGGATTGGTGATGGAAACGGATAGAAAATAGTGACATCAGATATGGTGGGGGAGCATAGAAGATGAGGAGGAGGAGGGTGGAGGTGACAAGGAGGTGAACCAGAATAGGGATCCAGAAGTGACCGTTGGGTGAGAATAAAAAAGAGAGTAAGGGTCCCATGGTGGGACTGAGTAAAGAAAAAAAGGTAAGGGAGGGCGATAAAAGCAAGGGCACAATGTGTAGCCAGTGGCGACGCGAAAATTTGCCAAAATGCCGAAACGCGGAAAGTACTGAATAGAAAAGCAAAGGTGAACACGACTGGATTGCCTAATAGAGGTGGTTCTGATCAGCCACAAATTCAAAAAAGACAATATTAATTACTATTCCACGTGGCACTGTGCCTGTGTGGCGCAAAGGCGAGTCTTTTTGAATATTCACTACATTCTTAACACCTGTCCATGCTACCAATCAACTTTGGTGCATGACAATGACCAGCTTGTTTTAATTTGTAGATGGATTTCTTCAACCTCCAGCAGTATCCAGGTTGGATAGGAACACCCCCTGGAGGAAGCATGTACAGTTCTTCTTCAAGTTCTCCATTGAGATAAGCTGTGGATACGTCCATTTGATCAAGTTCTAGGTCATACTTTGCTGCCAGGGCTAGAATAATTCGGATCAACTCTAAGTTTGCAACCGGAGCAAAAACCTCCTGGCAATCAATCCCCTCCCTTTAAGTAAAACCTCATGCAACAATCCGGAGTTTGTATCTCTCAATGTTTCCATTTTGATCAAACTTGATCCGGAACACAGGTTTTGATGTGATGGGTTTCACTCCCTTCGGAAGTAGAACAGTGTCATATACTGCATCAATATTGAGACTTAGGAGTTCCTCCTCCAAGGCAGACTTCCATAATTCTCCATCCAGACGTGATAAGGCTTCCTTTAGTGTCCTTGGAAGGTCTGTGTTAGATGGACCGGTACTTGCTATTCCAGCAAAGAATGTCTCCTCTGTATCAGATGTTTCTTCATGAACCTCAGGAGTGTTAGGTTTCTCCATGGAGTTGTCATGCTGCTCTTTTCGAGACTGTTCCTCATCTAGAGTCCTTTGATAATCTTGGTTTTTGTCTGCAGGACGGGTCTGGCAACTGCTTCTGCGTACTCCAAGAACTTCAGCAGGCATGATTGCTCTTTTAGGAACTTGTGCAGGTACTCCAGGAAGTAGACACATTTGTGTGTGTGTTGCCCCACTCACTCCTGGAGGTGTTGTATGCCTTCCAGAAGCTGATCCGATAGACAGGCTGTCTAGCTGTATTCAGACTTCTTCCACATCAGCTGGCTGTATGTTGAGTGTAACGACCAAGAGTTTCTTACTCTGGCGCACAACTCAGACAAGCAAAAGAGAGAAGAGAGAAAGAAGGGATCACCCCTTAGGTTTCAACAAGTTTGTTGTGCTAGACAACAGGAGGACTCGCTGAGTCCTTCCCCATGTATTGCTCTTGTATATATACTAAAATACATGAGGTACTGTACAGTTGTAAATAAAGTTTAAAGTCCGATGTCTAGCATGTGACTGGTCACATGATGAGTCTAAACACTGGTCAGGTGATGTGTCACATGATGGTCATGTGACTATGAAAAGTCCGGAAATGTAAAGTAAAGTAAATGGTCACATGATCAGTCATGTGACTTGGAAAATGAAAAGTAAAAGTACAAAAAGTGAAGCATAAGTAGGTGCTGGTATGTCAATTGTAACATTGAGGGGCTGTCCTCCCACTGACTGTGACTCTACTTTGGGATTCCATTCTGAAGATGGCCAGTGTTCAGGTCTTGGTTGTAGAGACTGTTGTGGAGGGTGTCTTAGCTGATCAGGTGCTCCCACTGCTCTCGGAACGTCTCCACGGAGGTATTGCCCCACTGCTCTCAGAACATCTTCATGCTGATATGGTTCCATTGCTTGTGGAACATCTCCTTGGAGATGTGGTTCCATTTGCAATTCATTTGGATCTTGGATCTGAGGGTCAGGATCATCCTCCTCCAATGTATTTTGGTCTGGATAGTGAGCATTCTCTAGAATGAGTCCCTCCCACTGATCTGTGCTAGGGTCTGTGTTCCAGGGAGCAGTGTCGTCCTTTTGTACCTTTCCAGATTCATTGAATATGATATGCCGACTGGAAAACACAGTTTGTTTTTCAGTGTCTAGGAGTTTGTAGGCTTGCTTTCCATGTGTGTAGCCAATCATTATGGCTTTACGCCCCTTGGAGTAAAACTTCCCTTGCCTTTTGTCTTTTGGAATCAAGGCATATGCTTGGCATCCAAAAGGGTGAAACAGAGTTGGATCAACTCTCCTTTTAAACAGTATCTCATATGGGGTCTTTCCATGGAGTCCTGATGCTGGGCTGCGTGCTGTGATATATGCAGCTGTTTGCATGGCATCTACCCAAAATGACTTTGGGAGCTTGGAATCATGGAGCATAGTGGTTGCTAATGTAGCCAATGTCTGATTCATGCGTTCTGCAATGCCATTTTGTTCCGGAGTATCTGCAGCTGTAGTTTCTTGGATGACACCATCTCCTCTGAGTTGATTTTTGAATGCATTGCCAGTATATTCTCCTCCCCCATCGCTCCGGAGGAATTATGTGTACAGTTCAGTGGAGTTTTCTTCTCCCAAATGAGTCCGGAAGAATGTTTGGACATCTTCTTTCCATTGCTTGTATCATTCCAGTGCTTCACTTTTATGTTTTAGGAAATATATCCATGGAAATTTGGAGAAATCATCTACAATGATAATCGAGTACCGAAAACCCTCCCTGGAAGTTGGTTTGATTGGTCCTCCAACGTCTGTGTGCACAATTTGTACGGGGCGCTTGGCTCGGTTTCCTCCAGTGGACTTGAAAGGTAATTTCTTCATCTTTCCTAAAGCACAAGGTTCACAAAACTCCGGGGTTCCGGTCAGGGTGTCTATGTCCTGGAGCTGTCTTTTTGTAACCATTCGTTGCAAGCGGTCCATTCCAATGTGTCCCATTCTCCTGTGCAATAAATTTACATCTACTGCTGCAAAAGCTGACTCCGGGTTGATTTCGGGTTTTGCTTGGATGTGATAAAGTCCTTGCTTGTGTAAAGCAGTGAGGATAAGTTCCTCCTTTTTCCGAACTTCACAAGTGTTTGACCCTGCTGGAAAAAGTGTTGATAACCCCTTTTTAGACAATTTGTGGACAGAGACGAGTGCTAAAGTGAAGTTTGGCACAAGTAAGACATTTGACAGTGCAATATTGTAGTCCTTTTTGCCAACAGTTGCTTGTAGGATTACTGTTCCAATGCCAATGACATTTACAGAGGATTCATCCCCAAAACTGATTGTCCTTGGAGGGTGCAGAACATGGTATGTTCCTGGCTCGAGCCAGGAGCGGTGAGGGACCATGTGGGATGTTTCTCCGGAGTCAATAATAATTGTTGTTTTGGTCTTATTGGGTTCCAACACAAGGTAAGCTTGAATGTGTTTAGCAAGGGGCTTGGAAATATGTACATGTTCCAATGCAATATGACTCTGTTCCTCCTCGGAGTCAGATCCAGATGATTGCTCCGCTGTATTTGCCTTTTCCTTCTCTTTTCCTTTATCCTTGTGTCTTTCCTTTTCCTTCTTCCTTTGACCTTTTCCGGCTGACTGAAGTGTTCAACACTCCAAGGTGTTGTGTGATTTGGCTTTGTGGAAGTCACACCACTTTTCCTCGGATTTGAGTGCTGATTCAGAACCTCCAGGGGCCTTCCCTGACTATCGTGCAACTTCTGCAGTGATCCGGATCTCAACTGCATCAAAGGTAAGTTTATTTTTTTCAATCGTGTTGATTACCGATGACTGAAATGTTTGCCATTCAGGAGTGCATGGGAGAGATTGGAGAAGAGTGAAGGCCATAAGTTTGGTATCAACTCCTAGTTTCATTCTGGAGAGGTGTGAATCAATTGTCCAGATTTTTGCAATGTGGTCCTGAATAGGTGATATCCCATCCCAGGACAATTTGGTGAGTTGCTGGAATGAATAGAAGGCCAAGGCAATGTTGGACATCTGATGGAGTGAGACAAGTTTATCAAATAACTTCTTGGAGCTGGTGAGGTCTCCAGTCCTCATTAGGAGGGCATCGGAGATATGGTCCTGGATGATTCCATGTGCCTTCTCATCCTTAAGTATCCAGGTGATTTCAGGATCCTCTGAGGAGGTGTAACAACCAAGAGTTTGTTACTCTGGCGCACAACTAGAACACACTATAGAGATAATGATGAGGGAGTGGTTACCCTTTAGGCTTCAACAAGTTAGTTGTGAGGATACAACAGGAGGACTCGCTGAGGAGTCTCCTGGATCTATTGAGGTATTTATACTACTACAGGTTGTTTGTATATGTTGTACTATACAGTTGATAAAGCAGTGGCTGATGATGTCAGAGGGCGCAGCCTGTGTGACCAGCTCCACTGCGTGAGAGACTTGTAGCTAAAATAAGAAGAAAGGCAGCGCCACGCGAGAAAGAGGAGTTTGAACAAAAGGAAAGTGCCGCATGGCACAGTGTGAGAAAATTACAGTAAAAGGTTAAAGCGGAGAAAAATGAAAATAAAAGGAAAGGTCCAAAAATATGTTATTGTAACAGGAGGTAGGTTTTCCTGGTGAGGGCTTAAGCTCCTCTCCAGAAACAACCCGGAGAACTTTTTCCCAATGTAGTTTTGAGATGATCCGGAGTTTCCATATCTGAAAATTGTTGGGTCCAGTGAGAACTGGACATGCAGATGTATTGTGTGCTGTGGTCATGGTTCCAAGGTTTTCGTTTCATATAAGAATTATTTCCTGCATAGCTTTTGCACACCAGGGCTCATAACCTAATAAATCTAAGTGAAACTACAATAGATGTTAGTTTAAGGTGATCTCTAATAAATGTAATGTAACATACCTCAGCCGCTGCCCAAGAGGCTATAGAAACGACTGAGGTATTCCTATACTAAACCCCCTACTACTTATAGTCGGAGGTGCTACTTGCTACAGTATAATGACTCCTAGGAGTACAATTGTGCTCCCAGGGGAACAATGGTGACTCCATGGAGTGGTGGCTATGCTCCATGGAGAACAATGGCTGCTTTTTCAGAGACCGGGTTTATCCGGTTTTGTCAGGACATAGAGTAGCTTCTACCTTAGAGTTACACCTCAGTTCTTTACTTAAAGACTAAGGTGAGATATCTTTCCTAGATTAATGTTCTACACCTTTACTGATTCTACAGTAGTCACTCTTTTGTGTCTTGCAGTGTCTTACAGTCAGCAAAAGATAACACACTTCTTAAAGATCATGCAGATTACTAAGATAAAGCAAATCAGGTTGACTAGCATAATTTGGTTTACCACGTGGAGCCCTTTTCTGATCAGCATAAGTAGGCCATGTTGCGTACCTTTTTTTCGTGATCACCACTTCCACTTGTCTATATCTTGGCTTGATCCTCTCCGGCTCCTTCTCCCTTTCCTTCCCCTTTGACGAGACTTTCCTGGCCGGGATCCGGATCTAAGGAGGACCCATTTTCGTCTGTTGCGTGTTTAGGTTAAATAAATTTTACCCGACAGCTAATTTTACTTACCATTGGTGTTTGTGGTATTTGACCGGGACTCTGTCGTTGTAGTATTCTCGGTCAGCTTTAAAGGCACTCATGGCAACTCGTCTTGACTTACCTGATATTTCGCCGTCGGAGGGACCTCTTCCTCCATGTCATCATCCTCCTCTTTGTGAGGCAACGATAAACTATAACAAAAACTAAACCTATCTCCTTCTGCACTTGCAGGGAGTAAGGGTCCAATGAGCTTTGAGGTCGACAGACGCTAGAATTATAGCGAGTAGAGGACTTTTGAGAGGTAAGCTTCAAAGGTTCTTGTTGAGGAGTAAAGCGGGTAAATTCAGTAATAGAAAGCTAAGGAGCTATACATGAATAGGTACGGCTTTATATAGAGAATTGTCCGTTCCTCAGACCGAAAAGAGAATATACGAAAAGTGGTCTGAGGAATTAATCAACCAATAAGAAAAAGGAAGGCAACTATCGTACAACTTCTGACTTGATTAATCAGCAGGTGAGAGACTTGTACTAATAATAGAAGATTGTCACGCGTGGTCAGGAACCGTATCCTCATGATGAGGTACGATTCTAGATAAGACATTATTAGTATTACCAGGCTTTACTGGGGCTTGGAGCTGGTTGGCGAGATGCCTACTACCAGTCCCTACCCAGTGTGCTGGCTAGCTGGGAGCGATGCCCAGTCTCTGATCTGTGATATAAAGTGGTAGCGATGGTTAAGAAAACCTGTGAGGGCTATGAGAAGTAAGATGGCAAAGGATACCTCTAGCCCTAGAGCCAGAGGTGTAACGGGAAAAGCGTTCGAGAGCCAAGACATAACGAAGATAAGAAGAAAATAATAAAACGGTCCTTACACTCTTCATCTATGGCATCGTCCTCTTTTGTTTCCATTTCCCGGACATACTCGACCTTCTTCATAAAGGCCTTGTAGAGAGGCATCTCACAGACCTTTGGCATGAGAGCCTCAGCTTTATTGAACTCCTGTGACAGCAAGCCCTACAAAGGAAGGTTAGTAAATAAATGCCCAGCGTGATTTTCCGCTCACCTCTTGTTGCCAAAACAGTGCTTTTGCCTCAACATCGCTCGGCTTATTTTTTACTGCTTCCACGGTGGCGTCAAATGGGATCAACCTGATAGTTTTGACAATGTCGGAAAGTTGTTTTTGCAATGCGGAGTTCATGGTAGTTTTGTTGAAGTGACAGCGAGTAAACCCTTGTCCCGTGGAAGGCTTGTTTGTCGATCGGAATTGGCCGGCGGCTGTCAAACAGTATTCTTTCCTATCAATCAAATATCAAAAATGGTCTGCTGATAACAATTCTTCCATTTCTGGTCTCACGTGCCGCCTAAACTCTGGGGAGACTGTAAGCCTGGTCATCTGAGGATCATAACTCATTTATTTTTACTTTGAGAACACTTCTATATAACATGTGGTTCCAAATAAACCACTGTTGCGATGAACATATCGAAAATTAAATGAAACATCCTCTATGTAGTAAACAGCAATCAGACAAATGACCTGGCCTCCCAAATCATCAATGCTCCAGTTTGACAATTTTTTTGGTAATGCAACAATCCCAGCCAAGTCCTTTTCTGCAAAGGTTGGTCCTCGCTCCATGGAAGAAAAATACCTTTTCAGTCTCCTAGCACAGCCAATGTTGACACCATGTTTTCCGAGGAGTTGTAACTGGTACCCCAGCATTTGCCATGTAGCAAGTATTTTAGCGAACGTCTCGATGCTGATTAAAGTCCGTTCCTCTCCGAGGAGTTTACATACAACATTGGGCACTCCTCAAATGTTTCGTATAACATTATGGTTGCATCCATGTGCTGAACCTTGTTCTCCTTGTAATATTCGTACGCCTCGGAGCGCTCCATGTTCTTGCTCAATGTCCTAGTATAAGCTAACCTACATCTTGCTTTTTGACTATGGAACTCGACATGCCATGGGTCCATGAGCGGCCCTCCGTTCCATTCCATCTCGTTGTCCTCTTCCGTGCAGAGCGATAGATTTCCTTATTAAGAACAAAGCTTGAAGGAAGTGTCTAGCCACTTGCTGAGAGCAATCAGGGACTGGAACTAGAGTCCAATGTGAGTAACTTTATTATTAGAGAGTATGACAGGTATACAGTACCTAGAGTCCAATGTGAGTAACTAGAGAATAGGAAGCATTGGACTCTGCAATACTGTCCGAAGTTTTGTAAACAAAGGTAAACAAAGCAGCCACAAAGGCGAAATAATAGAGAACACAATCAATAGTGAATGATAGAAGAATAGATAGAGAAAGGAATGAAAATATATAGGTAGCACAAAGGTGCAAAATCACCAAAACTAACATTCCTATCCATACCGTTCCGGTAGGTTGGGCGACTGAACACGAGTGTAATGACACCAGTATTGCGTGACTCGGAGATTACTGATCACACACACCACACACTGATTAAATTGTCACTCTTTCTACGCAGGCGCTCGTTCGCCAGTGAGGAGTTGAATCGATATAGTCATTGCCTGAATATTATCCCGGACATATACCGTTAGCTTGACATCCCATGTCCCTTCCTGTACAGATATATTTCAGCGGTTCTCGTAACGTGTTATTGTTTTGTTCGTTTTTCAGACATTTCGTGCACAGTACGTGCACCTTATTAGATTGTTGTTATCCTGATGATCTTACAATGTCTTATAAGGCCTTACATATATGCTAATATCATATTTTCCGACATGGTATTTTGGAAGCAAAGTGGAAATAACCCAATAGCATTTTGTTTGTAATATATGAAGTTTTCACAGTATAATATAATCCCTTAGTACTTTTAGTTCACAAAGGCAGTGCTTGGTAGGTCTGATTTGTCTGGAGATTTGAATTAAGACAGCTAAGAAACATATAGATTTACTGATGGATGACTTGGTGATGATTCATCACCACTGATTCATCACTTGATCACTGATTTTCATGAGTTTTCTATTTACATATTTGCTTATATTCCAAGTTTTTTTTATCTCTATCTCTAAATTGCAACTTTTCACTGGGCCTCAACAGTATGATACTTTGTTGTCCAAATCATCTCCCTGTCTATCACTTACCACAATTGTATCCTTAAAACTCTGCTATTAGAACCGTTTGACCTTGAGCGTGTAATGCATTGGGTGACCTACTCACTTTATCAGATATGTGAAATCTGTAAAAATGAAACTAGCTTTGAGTGGTACTAGCAGATTAGTGTGAACTTTGTTCGATCCTGCCGCGATCATTAATCACTTCAGATATGATTTTCTCGATATTGACCCACTGATGGCTGATTCAAAAATAAGTGATTTGTATTGCTACATTGAAGGGTGACAATCATAGAGTAAGCAAGATGATATTTCAGCGATGGGTATATAAAGAAAGGGGCTGAATAGCATCTGACACTAGGTATTGACATTGACCCTGCCAAGATCAACTATGATTTTCATAAAGATTATGTTTATGTTTATTCTCGTTAGCTAAACGCCTGGCAGGTAATAAGAGTACTTAAGGCGTCGTGTCAATGATGGTGGGATCTGTTGAACGGTCCTGGCCCGCTCCTGAAGTCCCTCCAAGAACATGCTCTCTCCCACCCTCCTTCCCCCCAAACGAATCCACTTATGGACTACGCTGTAGTCATATAATCGTTGATATCAGCACCATGACAGTCTTCCGCGTTTTGTCCGTAGTCCAGTTAGCAGTTAGCTGCCAAGAGGTATCACCGTGGTGCCGAAGCTTTCAGAGCATTCTGTAATATCGTCTCTCGGACAGTCGCGAAGACAAGTCGAAGATTCGCTTTGTCTGATGAGTTTATCAAGCTAAGAACATATCTCGTCAAAAAAGTCCAACACTTCTACAGAAAACAAACCTACTGAGGATAAATGTTCAGCCGGGCGCGATTGACTTGCATGTACTTCCACAGGATGTATTTAGCGGCTTTGTTGGCATCCATGCCACCCTGATATTCAGGAAAGAATTGCTCCAGGGCCACCTTTGTGGGAAACGTGTCAGCTGTCTCGCGACGATCGCTTGATTCGAGTATCGTGCCTTTATTATTTTCTTCCTAAAATCAGTTATGCGGGTCAAGAATAGAACGACTGAAGTCTGATGAAAATTCGGATCATTGACGACAGACTCAAAAAGTTGCAACGACTCGGCCATGCGATTCTAACACGGATCTAATTCAGTTTTGCTCGGAACTCAAAATGGGAAGTGATGAAACTGACTTTCTTTCCGTCAGGGAGCTGATCATAGTCCACTAGAGGGGCACAGAACATGATCGTAGTCACGTTGTCAAAGTATGGCAGCCATTTCAGCGATTGTCCATCGCTGTCCACTTCGAAAACTCGTAACCTCCTATGTCGTTTCAATTTTAGCAACGAAAAGATGAGGAAAGTGGCCCACCTGGTGCTCGACATATAAAGTGTGGTATCCGTGATTCCCATTGCGTTTAAATTCAAAATATCAGCGTCAGTGGGCGTGTAATTTGCGCTGCCTATTCTCAAGACGTCTCTGATGAAACTAACAAATGACAGTTCGATATAATGCGAGGAAAATATGAAGTCCACCCACTGTTCGGCACCTTGCACCAAGTCGAATCCATGCTTTACCTGCGTAAATTCGATTACACTAGTATCTTGCCAGAGCTCGTGTATAGCTTGTGCGGTTTCCCATGAGAGATCAATGTGGAGAGAGTCATCCGAGCAACGCTTCATAATTCGAGCAGCATTCATCTGCAATTTCAAAAGCCATCTAAAATCGAGGTGACTGAATGGTAGACGTTCACTTACCTCGTTTTTGCGTGACATGAAGTCCAAATTTAGTTCGCGCATTGCAAGCACGACGTTGTGTGCAATACCGATGGTGATTTTCCTGATGAGGGTTTGATGGTAATTGCGGCTTTCGTACCAGGTCGCCTGCTCATATCTAGTCTTCTGACTGGTCGTCTTGTCGTCGGCGGACTCCTCTAGGGCACTGGCTTGCTTCATGTGCTCCAGGAGTGAGGTCTTTCCTGCTCCAGGTATCCCTGAGTCAAAATTTCAGCAACGAACAGTATTATTTCAACACCATTCCTGTAGTTCTGCTGCTACCTAGCCTGAAAAAGGTGTACGGTGTAACATTTACCTAGCAATAGTATAATACACTCTGCCTCTTTTTTCCTCCTGCTTGTCTTCCTCATAATTTTCCCTCGACGTTTCATGGACACCAGGTTCCCCATTGTGTCTGAGATAGACCGGAGACAGGAGGATGCTGGGTAATGGGCACCGTGGTGGTGTCTTCGAATGCGAGTCTTCGGAGCTGCGTCTACCACTCAGTGGCAGAATTCGCAAGACGTTGGTGGAGACACAGAACAAAGAGCAAGAAAGCTTATAAGAGTCCATAGTAAAATTAGCATAGGTTTGCTAATACTGCACTGCTACAGTGCCTCTAAATGAGACAAAGCCCAAGATTAATATTGAGGTCACCACCCAAGGATTTGCCTTTGAAATGTGTTGCGCCTTCGGGAAAGTATCGAGCCATGTGCCGTACGTGTCCGAGTCGCGAATTATCACACAGCCTACCAATTGTGAGTTATACAGCATCGTCATATATACCATGCAAGTACGTGGTCGCAGCTGATTGCATGAGTGGCACACTTGCCAGCTTATTGAAGCTGCACTGGAACACGGTACGGTACTCTAAATAATAGAACAGCTTTAATGAGCGGCCTTTCTAATTGCAAAATAGTGCGATGCTTTATGTGCGGGAGATGAGGTTCACTACAGACGTACGTATTGCTAGGAGGTATCTGCATGGAGTAGCCACTCAGACCAAACTACCGAGTGCGATGAGAACGTATCAGAAAAGTCTATCAATGTCTATAGTTGTGGAGGAAATAGAACGTGATGTTGAAAGAGATGCTGATCTATGTATGGTACAGCGACACGGATACAACTCGTACGACCAAAGAAATAAACCCAATACGGAGCGAGAAAATGTCAAAACGAAGAAAGATAACGAGATGCAGAACGACGAGATGCAGAATAACAAAATCATAACACTAACACGAAAAAAAGATGATATGAGAGCCTATCAGGCATGCTGCACCTGTGGCACTTGGTATCCATATGGGGAGTATCGCCCCGTATCAGGAGGCGGTGGGGACATGAAAGGTGGGTGAGGGTGAGGAGCCACCATAAATACAGGAAGGGCTTGTTGCATTTCAGGTGGTCTCTGTATACTTCCCGAGCTGGAATGTGCACCTGGTGGTGGAGGTGACTGTGGGTAGACGAACATGGTACCAGGGCTGAGGAATTGAGGATATGTGGGATAAACCGGATATCCGTGTCCTTCTGATGACCCACCATTCGAGGGCGGTCCTTGACCAATCGGCGACCGCGATCTAGCTGCAGGTGCAGTGGCATACGCGAATGTAGCACTAGAGCCAGGAATCTGACCAGTGGGATGGTGAGCATGCTGTGGAAGTATTCTCGTACTGGACGAGCCAGCGAGGAGGTCGAGAGGACGATTGTCTGTACGTTTATACCAGGAAGTGTGTACGCGCGTATCTTTCTGTCTGCTGTATCTCTTCCGGTTGGCCTCTCCAGGGATATATTCCACTGATACTGCAGGAGAAGCGACCCATGGAAGATCATTAACTTCGTGCAGGAATTGGCGAACGCTAGAAAACTGGTGACGCAAACTATCAGAGTTGGGAGTAAGACGAACAGGGGGGTTCATCCTCGCAAAGTCGGCGGACGGTAATGGTTCAACGAAGACGGGACTTAAATCAGCCCTTTGGGAAGGGGGATTGCCATGATTATTTGACGTGCTGGTATCCTGGCTTCGGGTATCGTCACTAGAATGGCTAGCAGTGTGTTCGTGATGGTCATATGGATTCGAAAGGTGCGATTGCGGGGAATAACGAGAATGATGGGAGTGATGTGAATGAAGTGAATGTTCGTGCACCGCTGATAATATTGACCGTTCTCGACGGTCTCTGGGTGTGTGCTGGGGTGGAGGAGCGGGCTCTTCGACGGGCATCCGGCTCGCTTCGACATACTGCACGTTTGATGGTTCATCATGCATTTGAGAGGACTGATACTGAGGGAGGGTAGAGGTAGTCAAGTTATTCGCCACAGTAAGCATGGTCTGCGATGTGCCCATAGTACCTGTGGTATCGTGCCGGACCGCTTTGCGATCATGGAGACGGCCTTTAGACATGGCCTTTGGGAGTCTCTTGAGGCCACTCACGAAACCACCGACAAAAGTCTTTGCTCCTCCCCTCCTTTTGCTCTGCTCGCTATAACCATAGCCATAACCTTCATCAGGGTCCAAATCCGCATCCACAGTCATGTATTCTGCGTCCCAGTCCGACTCTGAGGGCGGTATGTTGGATTGTGCTCCAATGACCGGGGTGGGCATGCCTGAAATTGGCTGAGGAGGCGGGGGCGGGCCAGGGTAGACCTGAGGATCATTCAAGTTGGACGGGGGGTAGATACTAGCGGAAGGCTGGGTGGTCGATATCCAAGTGACGTCCCGTACTCGACCTTGGCGGGAACTTGAAGTGCGGTGGTTCCTTGCTATGGCATCTGAACTGTAGTAGTCTTCAATGGGGCGTTGATTAAAACTGGTGTCGATACGGGTTGGTTCACGGAATTCCATAAACTCGGACATTTCAAGTTCTCAGATGATTTTTTGTATCAGCGTTTCTTTCTTCCCAGAGGGTTTCGGTGGAGGTCCGTCAATCCGTGGTGATCGTAAGCAACAGAGACGCTGGGTACTGGAAATATGGGCGTTGATGGGTGCTCAAGTGCGAAAGACGTCAGGTAAGGGGTTTCCAATGGTGCGCCAGCTGAGCGCAGTAAAGGTTATATGAACACGAGGCAGGTGCGAGGATCTGAAGTGAAGACCGGAATGTGCATTGGAATGTGATCCAGTGTGAAGAATGATAAATAAAGTCGGTCTTATCACGATAGAACTAAGGATAGCCTTGGTGCATTGTTGCTGCAGTCATGGATATCTGCGTAGGGTATGTTTTCGCTTCATTCTTACTTCAAACTCCGCGTTGACGCTCGTTGGGTCAGACGCTCAACATATTGTATATACTCAACGCACAACGCATGTTGGCGATTTAACTAAGCTTCAACGTTTCGTATGTAACGATAAACCTATGCTTGCGTATCTTTATCTTATGCTCAGCAGTCTTGACATTGTGTGCAGGCGTAGGATTCGCCAGACAGAATATCAAAATCACCGAGTTATGAGCACTCAAAAGCACAAAGTTTGCTGATTTCTTGACAGCAGTCGCCCACGATCGCCATGGCATGAAGTAGTTATATCCACAAACACTGCGCCTAGACGTCTTCACACCGTGATTATGCGCAGCTCGAAGATACTGTGCTTTTTGCGCTTCGAAATAGTCTCGGAGGATTTCGTCGGTGAACCTTAGAACAGCCTCAATACCACTAAACCTTCAATAAAACTGATCGGCGAGTCAACTCGGTGTTTAGTCCCTTGTCAAGGCTTTCCGCAGGAGTTATGTTCGCCTATATAATGCGTGCCATCAGCTGTATCCGTATCATCATCGATACTCTCTACGAACATTCAATCCAGTCACTCATTCACACTTGGACAACGATCTATGGTGCTCCTTCTTGCGTCATTGACAGCTGGTCTCTTCCTGTCCTCGTCGCGCGCTGCGTCGATTTCTCCTCCAGCCCAAGCAGAACAGATTCAGTGGGTTAATTGCACCAATAATGTTCCCCAGCCATTGCAGGCTCAATTTAATATCACCAACTGGGGTGACGATCCAAGCCTCCCGCCTCTCCCTTCAACTCTACACTGTGGATATCTCAAAGTGCCTATGGATTATTCGCAACCAATCGGATCCAACAACACAATCTCTGTTGGGATCGCGATGTACCGCCCGGATAATCCGGAGGGCGTCATTTTCTAGTACGTTTCTTGTGAACAACCTTAGGATCCATCGTATGAATATTGACTATTGACTCTCTTTAGCAACTCAGGTGGCCCTGGCGAACCTGTGGCTGTAATGGCATGGGAAGTGGCGTTAAACTTAACGCAAACGTTCAACGGCTTGTTGAATTTTGACCTCATGAGTTAGTGCACACCATTATTTATAATCCATTGCTTTACTCAACGCTTTTTCGTTCTCAGTGATGGATGTGCGTGGCACATTCAGTTCTAATGAACTCAATTGTTCGGTCGAGCTGTTCAACGAAATACCAACCACGTTGTATGGCTTTTCGAACCTTTTCCTTCGAAACTTTTCTCAGTTGTCTTTTTTTGATTAGCTTTACAAACATCAGCGAGTTTGATGCAGTTCAAACCGGTGTGAAAAACTTCGCGCAGTCTTGCATTGACTTGAGTTCCCCGCCTGGCATTGTCCAATTTATCGGCACAAACGAAATGGTGAAAGACTGGGAGGCCATTCGGATCGCTCTCGGATATGATAAAATCAGTTATTATGGCATATCGTAGTAAGCCCCAAGTCGCGTCTTGTGGGATGCGACCAGGCTTAATTCTGATCCTAGCGGCACATTTTATGGGATGGAATACCTTTATCGCTATCCAGACAACTGCGATCGCTTTGTGCTTGATGCCGTATTTGCTCATGGAATGGTAAGACCCCTGCTGTTCTCAATCCTCAATATCCTTAACTGACAATCTTCCGAGTAGAGCGATGAAGATACCGTTATGTATGATATGAAGGCAATCGACCGCCTACTTTTGCGTGCCGACGCTTATTGTATGTTCAATACAACATGTCCTTTGCACCAGCAAGGCAAAGGCAGTATACCCGCCGTAAGTTGCAATTAATCGTAATAACTAGTAGATTCCACTTGTATTCTTACACACTCAAAGGCATTTCAAGAAATCATCACACAAGCGACACAAAAACCCCTCTCTGCACCATCCTGTATTAACTCTACCGTGTGCAATTCAGTGGTCACTGCAGATAATATACGAACTGCGATCAACTTCGAATTCACATCTAATCCCGATTTCCCGTATGTTGACGAAGCATTATATCAAGCAACGCAGGGAGATGCCAGTATGGTGGGCATCATTGAGCGTGGCACAACTGGACCTGCTACTGACATAGCAAGCACAATTGTTTTCCCCCTCATATGCCTTGACATTGGTAGGTTTTGATAGGACTTCGCAGCGCAATGCAGTTATATTAATGATTTTTTATCCTTTTCAGCATTAGACAACAATTCATACGCTGGGTTTGAACAGCTTCGTTCGAGTTCATACAAGGTTCGCACAAATATAAGCATCTCTTGGTTTGGCCAGGCATAGATCGACTGCTTGATTAATTAGGACGACCCAGCCATGCTGAGAGTTTCTAACATCTTCGATATTGAGGTTAGTTCCCCAAGTCCTGTCCCAGTATTAAGCTTCAACTCAACATGATATCAGCTATACTGCTCTGCATGGCCTTTCCCAGCACAGCCAAAACAACTGTTGCCCACGAACCACACTTCTTTGATGTGGGTCACCGCCGATTTCGACCTGAAGTAAGCTCTTCGAATATCATTCAAACTGATGGTAGAAGTTACTAATATTTTGCTTAGTCTCCCGACCGAGTTTGCCACTTTTGCATGGGCGCAAGCACCGAACTCGGTTCTGGTAGTCCGACACGGGGATGACCATGGCACGTTACAAGGTTCGTCTTATTTTTCCGTCTGCACTTTTCTCAGTGCTGCTGCTTCAAGGTGCACACATTTACTCTTATACTAATTATGCCGCCTCGTTTAGTTCCAAACCAGCCCGCCGCGGCGATGGAAGTCTCCTTCCTTGCTACTGGTGTGCTTCCGAACGTCACCGATGAGGAGCTTGTCACCGTCTACACCCCGGGCAGCACTCGTGGGCCAATTCCAGACCCGTATTCTGTGCCCGTTGGACCTCTTGCTGGAGAAACGAGTACCTATGCAGGGATATGAAGATACATACAATTTTTCTCGACTGCACTTACGCATCGACAATCAATTAGCTTAGATAGGTTTGTAAATTGATACTTACCTAACTGCGGACAAGTGAATATGCTATATAAATTCAATGTTCATAATCAACTTATGCTAACATAAGTAGCCTCGTTGGATGTCCATGGCGCAGGAGCACTGCAATAGGTGGGGTAGCGCAGAGATGCTTATCTATATTACAGAGAGACCAAGGTACACCGAGGTTACAGATGTCAGCTATTCATAGCGAATAAAAGGACTGGAGTGCATTTTGAAGCAAAGAAGGTGTGATTGATCCAAAGGAAAGATGTCAAAAAGAGCGGAATGGTTTGTTAATGCCCAATGAATAATGATAGGCAAATAAACACTGCTGGTGAGATTAAACCGCACAACAGATAATTCAAGTCGAAACATAACCTATAACAACCCAGATAAGTAGAAATAAAAACACAATACCATGATAAATTGGTCGTGATTAATTTATAACCCATAAGCGTACGGCCTGGCAGGATCCGACGTCGGGGTGGAGTAGGATAGAACAAAGCCAATATTGAAGCTGCCGACGTCGCTGGTCTAGAAATGCAGGCCGGAATCGGGATAATGGAGATTTTGGTGGGAGTGCAGGTACAAAGTGCTGTTGGTGACGCTTCATGAATGTATGAGATACATAAGACTATGAAAGGGAACACATGCGTTGACTTACTGGTAGAGTGCGGCGAAGAGCAATGTACAACTCGACAAAGGCGCTATACCGCTTATGTGCATGGATGGTCGTGCCCTAAGACCCCGGTCAGCCGGTTAACAAAAAATAAAGGGGATCTAGAACACCGACCTCTTTTGTTTTTATGACACAATCGTACACTTGGGAAAAAGCAGAGATTTAAGGGAAAATAGAATCAACGATAGGAGACGTTGATAGCTCACCAATGTAAGCTCCACCAAGTTTATCCCCCACGCTGGTCCAACCACTTATCTTGACATCACGGGTGAAAGCTAGGCTTCCACCGAAATTATCACCCAGCCAAATATCGCTAGAGAATATGGATGGTGGGCCCCGCGGTGCTGGTGCTGGAGGTGCTGATGTTGGCTGGTACGACTGGCTATCCCGTTCCTGGACGAATAATAAGTATCCGAGATAAAACCAAAGTGCGGAAGGGCATACTTCGCAAAGTTCGTCGTAAAAGCGAGACTCTTCCTCAACATCAATTTTGTCTGGTAGCACGACCAAGAGATTTTTGGAATGTTCGAAAGGGTGAACGGGCAGAGGCGATGGCGCGGGCAACTGTGGAGAATGCATTGCAGACGAGACAAACAGTCGGCGGGACCCACACGAAAACCGGAAATGAGTAAACGTCACGTGCCGCCATTTCACATTCAGCGGTTTTGTTATGCTTTTCCCCAAGACCGCGCTTAACGAGTCTTGACCACAGGGTCTTCAAAAGTATAACAACGTGTCCTGCTCTTTTCGTACTGTTGTCATACTGATTCAAATAAGATAGATCTCCAAATGCTTACCTGATGCCACACGCTCGCTGTGAGAACGTCTAGCTCGCCTCAACCTTCGAGAAAGGAATCTTGTCTGTTCAGCTATAGGCATAAGCCTCAGTATAGACAGGTTCGTTCGACATTCCATCTCTTGCGGACCTTAATATATAATCTACGACATCTGCAGCCAGTTCAAACATACATTCTCCCGTCATGATCTATGTGTTCCTCCTGGTCATGGTACCTCACACGTTGTCCTCATACTTCTATAGTATGTTCTCTTAAAGTGACACATGGAGACAAACCTTCCAATCAGGAAGAATCGTTCTAGTAGCTGAGCTCAAGGTCGCCGCCAGTCTAGCATACTTCAAACGTTCGACTTTTCCAGACGTGTCAGCCCTCGGCATTTCCCCGTCCTTCTCAATTCTAACCATAAAGTAGCTGGTCTTTGGAATCTCGTATCTAAAGATCTCTCCGCTTCCTTAGGTATATGTCCTTAGGCTTCGATAAGAGCTATTTGAGGTTTACCTTTTATCTTTGGTCAGACGCTGGCTCTGGTTTGCATCGAGTAAGATTGCTTGTTAGGTGAAATTATGTTGCGTCTCACTTGGTTTCTACAATGCGATATAGAAGTTCATCAGTACTCCATCTGGAAATATGCCTATGTGCATGTCCCACCGCTGCAGCGCTACAGACGGCAATGGTGAGCATAACTGAGCCATGTGTACTGGATTTCGAAGATATAATAATTTTATGATGTGACAGGGAATGCCTTGTATCTTCTGATTCTGGGGAATACTATGTCTCTTTCCCGAGTTTTTTCGACTGCAGCTGGATTGTCATAATTGCTCTTTCCCTCTCCCACTCACTGCCCCCTATCAGCTTCGACCGCAAGGAGAGGTATTACCACGTTCATTTCCGCCAATGGAGGACGGTAGTAAGCGTGTAGAAAAGAATATTCTTACTTACGCGCTACCTACGATTAGTCTAGTTTTGCCTCAGCAAGGCTCTAGGTGGAACTTCCACTCACCAATAGCCTGGACACACTTATGGTGCCTTTGTCGAAAGCCACGTGTTTACAACTGTATATCGTCTGTCATTGGCCGATAAGACACAGGTATGCCCGCTTTTCGTAAATACTGAGGTTCTCTTGAATAGCTACAATATACGGGAATTATTACGTCCATCTCAAGGCCAAAAACGACATAGACCATGATGAGGTACTGTTTGACGGCGTATAATCATGGCTCAGTGGTCTAGTAGTATGATTCTCGCTTCGGGCCTTCCGATCTGCAGCAGATCAAGTAATTGCGAGAGGTCCCGGGTTCAATTCCCGGCTGAGCCCTGTGTTTTGTACCCCGTAACTATGGTCTATTTTTTGCTTATCTTGTGGCTTATCTGATTTTGCCGCCAAAATTACGCCATTGGCTGCGACGTCTTCTGTTTTTATATTTTTTGCAGAGAGCCTCCGCCTTATTATCGACACCATTTGCCCTCCCGTTTATGCGCACAAGTATGGACGTCTCGGATCCGCTGAGCCTCCAGGAGTCTTGCACAACACTGCATTCAAGCTAGCACGTCGAGTTGGGACGGCACACAGCTTGTGAATGTAAACGGCTTTCGTACATCCCATATCAAGTGAAATGAGATGCATGTGGTTGCCTCGCTTTAGTTTATAAAGTTCCATGTTCCCTCGCAAACTTCCCTCGACTGAACTACTATTTTGTTGACCGAATACACGAATCAACGCTAACACCCGTCCAGTATCAAGTTCTCTGTCATCAGCGGATACTCCCTTTCTATAACCAGAAAATGTTTCGTGGTATGTCGCCTTCCTTTCTCCTTCCAACCGCTCGTCCTCGACACTATCAGCGAGCTATATCGTGATGCCTTTTTTTATTTTATAATTTTCAGATAACCGTGAGTTGTTTATCAGGGAAGTAATAAACAGGATTGAAAAATGTCGTTTAGAGACCCGTCACATTTCTTTTGCTGGTGACAGTAAAGGTGTCTGTAAGTCCATTTTTAAAATTTATATTTGGCAGATATTTCAAGCCATCTACAGCGACGGTTGATGAATGTCTTGAAGTTGCTGGTGCGGAAGCTTTCGATCAATTTGAGAAGTATGATGCTTCCATATCAAACGGATACTGAAAGCTCACTTTTTTTCAAGGCGCGTGCAGAACTTAGATAAAGGCGTATGTTGTCGAGTTCTGCAAGTTACATGCCCATACTGAGTATACATTAGCTCAGGAATCTTGCGAACGCTGCTGGTCAACTCGGAAGTTCTGTCGGAATATTATCTTCCGCCTTCCGATTGCGTGAGCAATTAGCCAGAATCTTGTTCCTGTTTCGAGAAAATGCAGCATATCTATTCCCTCGGAGAGTTCAACGTCGAGCTAGGGAAACTCATGTCAACCCAAATTTGATGAACCGTCGGAAGACACCTTATTCCCCGCCACTAGCTGCCAAGTTGGTTATAGAGGAAAAGATAGATCCTGAAATATTTCCAAAATACTTCGAGGATTTTGCCATAGAGACTGAAACGTTCACGAAGTGCTTGAACGATTTTTCTGAATTCGTTGACGAGGATGTCAACGCATCAATACGATCATTCCAAGGCGATCTCAATGTAATCTCGCCTACTTTCTGGGTCACTTTTTGGAGCTAATGGATTTATGCAGTATTGGGCATCATGTCTTAAAGAGTACGAAAGTAAGCTGCGGAGCTATATGTGTTTTGCAAGGCAGTAATCCATATCACTTCCTTATCAGCTCAGTTTCGCTTTCCTGCCGTGCGAAGGTACATACATGATCTCACGCCAGAGATAGGTGATCATATGGACAGTGTTGCTGCTTCGCTATCGTTGTTCATTGAAATCGGTAAGTTTTGCACTTTCCTCAATCCTGATCAGCCTGATTTAGTATTTGGCTAGGCATCCCTATAATTACGTTTACGCAACATCATGCTACTGAGAATCTGTTGAACCTATCTACAGTGGCAACTTTCTTTTCAGCTGTGACAGCTATGACCCTGCAATTTTCTTATGGCTCTACGGACAGTATTTTGGCCGAATCCGTCAATGCCTTTTGGTTCTCCTCGCTTGTTTTCAGTATCGCTGCTGCAGTCAATGGTCTTCTTGGTCTGACTTGGAAACAAGCAATGTAGTACGTACTCTGGTACTCACTCTACTGGGACTACCAAAGCTAATATAGCTTAGTCGTTCGCCTGGTCACCGTGTCCCTTGGTGGGTTCTAATTTGGATTGAACGTTTGCCCCTGGTTTTCCTCGTTGTTTCTGTGGCTTGTTTTTCCACCGGACTCCTCCTTTTTGCATATTCGAGTAATCAAGTAATGTTCTTTCTCGTATTTTCATACTTCACACACTCATGTATTTTTAGGGCCGGGTTACAAGCCTGATAACTACGTTTTTTATTGCTATGACTTCTCTAGGTCTTGCCACTGTTTCTGCCTGGTTTGTGTCTGAACGATGGACGTTTAGGCGACATGGAGGTCGCATATGGTTAAAGGATATAATTATTGGCGAGGCCGACCGGGTCTTGCGATTAGGTGCGTTGATGAAGGCGAAAGACGCTCTTCTTCGGAGCTGTATTCGTGTAACTGCTGCACGCAGCTATCTAAGACAACTATCTTTACGGGTGGCAGATTTTCTATTTTATGGGAATGGGGCAAGCGATGATAACATTGAGCTCCAATATACGCGCCCGACGTCACTTTTGACTAGAAATCAGTCTTCGAGTACAACGACTACGGAGCAGCAACTCTTCCATGGCTGTGACACCATCGAAGAGTCTGAGGCTCCAAGCGGTCCTGTCCAGGCTAAACAACGTCTCATCAATGCTGTTCATGCCGTTATCATGTTACAATCGAGTTCTTCGGCCAAACTTCGTATGCGTCGCAATCGACCAATACCATCACTACCCGATACACAACCTGGATCACTAACTCCAAACCCTAGTAAAGATCCGCTGGCATTCCGTTTTCCCAAAGTAACAACATCCAGGTTGAAGACCGTAGAAGTAGCCCACGAACTTTCTGCCCATCAAGCTCTCGTTCGGCATTCACAGTTCTCGCCCGATGGGCGGTATCTGGCGACCTCTAGGTAAAGCTCTTGCGTACTCGCTGGCCTGCACGTCTCCTGATGTTGTTACTATTAGCTGGGACAAAACGGCGGTTATATTTCGAGTAGGGGTGAATAGTCTTGCTATATCCGCAGTTGCCGCACTCTGACAACAGCGCTCTAGGATCCATTCACCTCCCATCAAATTTTAATGCATGATAAGGGTCTCATAGGTCAGGTTGCCTGGTAAATATCATTATATTTGCGCCTCTCTGGGAAACCTAGCAAGTAAACTGACCCGCCCAAAAACAGGTCTCCAGAAGGCGATCTACTCATGACGAAACTGAAACGCGGTATCAAAATTTGGAATATGGTAGGAAGAATTTATTGTCCTAGTTGTTGGTAACTTGTTGCTGACCTTTTTACCTACCATAGGATGGTCAATGCCAAAAGACAATAGGTCGACCACGTACTGTTCAGTCAATTACATGGCTCCCCAAGGGGGATGGTGAGCTTCTGACTGCAACTGTTCCAACATGGCATGTAATAATTGGAATGTAGCTATTATATCGGCCGAGGTTAACGAAAAAGTGAAGAAGGTGAGTGAATGGGCCCCCCTTCCAGGAGTTACCGCATCTTATTCATATATTCCCAGGATACAGATGGGAGAGTGAATGATACTCATGTAGAGGGCAGTATAATTGTGAAATTGGTGTGTATACTTGTATATTTTATGAGCTAAACATTACTTATATTTATTCAGGACCGTCGCGGCGTGGTATGTCATATTTATATGCAAGGGAATATAGCCATAAGGATTGATGTGTACTCTCAGGAACTGGCACACTATGCGTTCGATCGCATTAACTTCAACAGTGTTGCCGTGACGCCAGATTCTTGTCGAATTATTGGTGCTGGGCCTTTGTTAACCTCGCCGACGGGGATACAACCCAGGCAATCTAAGGCGGAGAAGCAAATTATTGGCACGTATTTCATTTGAGTTTTCACGTGTTACTTACGAACAGCTATCCGTAGTTTATAATATGGAGACTAGACAATGCGAAAAGTAAGTATCTAATCAACCGTCAGAGACTGAGAATTTCTTCTTAACTCGGTCAAAGTCGAACGCCTGTATTCAATGACGTTCGAGACATAACGATCTCTCGGAAAGGCACTGTAGCCTTACTTTCCTATGGGCACAAAGTCAGTACTTTAAAGTCATGTCGGTGATCCCGCGACTCAGACTAACCTGGTGCATAGTTGCCTCCGGAGCTATGGAAATTAGAACTGGTCCGAGGTCGTGACAATAAAGTCCTTCAGATTCTCAGGCCTAGCCTTCAGCATACGTATATGCCTGTCAGGAACGTAATTAATTTTGTAGGGCCAAGTTCTTTTGGAGGCCTGGATGACCAGTTGGTGTTCTGCGCCGGAAAAGGTGCGTCGTATTACTTTGTTCCCGAAAACCAGTAATCCATGCTGTACCAGCTGGAGATATACACATTTGGGACCGGGACACTGCGGCACTTCTTCACCATATTCAACCGAGAGGACCTGTTGGAGACCTGACTTGTATCGCTTGGAATACTTCTATCGACATGCCGATTATGTTTGCAACTGGAAGCCATGATGGCGCTGTCAGAGTCTGGACGAGCACAGACGAAGACATGGAAAGTAGTTATGCGGGTATGTCGACAGGATCACCGGTTTCCAGACGCCAAAGTCGCACCAAACCCACGAGTCCCCTAGCTGTGGCACAACCCAGAGATAGGATGTCTCAGGTCGAAATCACAGTATCCTAAACTATTAATACTAGTATTGCAGCTGTGTTGCAACGAATTGGCCGGGTTTTATCAAGTCTGATTGACTTGTTTCTGTTATTTCTTTCACTCGTTTCCTGGTATCGTCTCTTTCTTGCTCATAGAAGTTGTGTATCGTTCTAAAGATTCAGACTTGTAGGGCTGTGCCACTGTAGTATGCTCAATCTCTGTATGATCCTTCGTAATCCGGGCCTGGGTAATTTGCAGGTATTTTCAGATGAGAATTGTTAATGCATGACATGGAAGAGCACATAAGTTCCAAATAGAACTCGAAGGTGGTAAAAGGTTCACTAGGAAAAATTCAAATGAGCAACCTACGGTCGCGGTTGCTGTGTTTAACTGGTAACGTTATGGTTTAAGTTAGAGCCCTAGAGGAAGCTCTGAGGCGTTGACAACATCTCAAATATATAAAAGAATCTCTCTACCCGCACGAGCTCTCAGTTAGTTCAATTTTTTACTTAGACTTTTGCAAATGGCTGTAAGTGAGATATTTACGTACATGATCATGATGGATGCGTTGCTGGCGCGGGACGACCATGATGACAAGCGTGTACTCGGTCTCGGTGTATATATTCATTGTACGTCGTTCTGTCGCCAGATCATAACTTACCCTTTGACTCGCTACTGCTATATTGACCAGCACACCTAAACGCTTCATCGCTCTCGTCAGTGCCAGCTCTTGATACGTATCATTTTCTGCTTATAACCGAAGACCATCTCTTTTAGCCACTTTACGACGAGGGCTGCACCAACTATACTCATCGTCTAACGGGTTTATCAGGCGCTTCGAAAACCGAGAGGTATGTAAGAATAAACTAAATATATATTCGTGCCATTGCTTCAACTTTTTCCGTAGGTTGCTATGGTATACAAAGTTGCCGGCTATATTGTATCTTACGACCAAGTACGCAGCTGGGCTCATAGAAATGGGCGTGAGCCCCCAGCATATGGTGTGTCTGCATGGCTAGACAAATGGTTCAAGGAACGACGAGTCGACAACGCTTTCCGCGCACTGGGAGTGAACTGGCCGCAAGGCACCCCCGAGAACCCAGAGGCAGCTAATCCTGTCATCATGCTGGTTCGCAAATCAGAAGTTGACCCCAATTCAACGAGGAGGAAATGGGCACCTGTGAAGGAAGCAGAGGGAGATCGCGTTGTGAAGAATTGGCTGGAAGATGAAGGTTTACATGTTTATTGGGCAACTGTTCCGGACCCATATCAAGAGACGGAATACTGACGTCGTACGCTCTTTTTCTCCAATACTGGTTTTTTATCGTGAGTTATTTAGCTGTTTATTTTCGGGAGTGGATATATTTCAAGGGCTGTTGTTATTTCCACATTTTGCTTCACCATCTATTCACTGTAATGATAAATGAATATGGATTTTTGACAAGCACATAACAACTGAAGAACAGCGATAGCAATACAAGAAACAATTTACAATTTCAATACACGGGAACTAAGAAACATAGAATCGACGGAGATGAGTTTGATATACATCGACTACCAGCAAACAAATGGTCGCGTAAGAGACATATATGAAATGAAAACCGAACATGCAGATTGGCATAGCCCAGTTATACCTAGAAAAGAGAGCATAACCAAATCCTATTCTGATCCCGTAAATGATGACACCGTTCTTTGTGCCGTTTTTCTTGGCCTCAACGTCGGAATCCGATATACTTACCAGGACTTGTGGGTGCATCCTAACATTACATTTTTCTGGTTAAATGGGTCTATAACAGTCTGAAGCTCATACTCACTTCATCCGGACACGAATAGTAGGCATCCTCATCGTCGCTAGATACGGCACCTGAGGACGATATGTTCGTACGAGAGGAGGGAATCCGTATCACCACTGCCGGCGAACGTAGACTCGGGCTGGCAGCAGGAGAAATCTTGATCCTGGGAAATGAAACTACGTCGGACCTGACAGTTCTGGTGGAAGGTTCTGTCGTATACACGATATTGCGCTTGTCATCGGAGGGAGTAGAGACAGGCGCTGGAGCTCTTGGTAGAGGCGAAGGATTAAAAATGACAGGTGCTGAGTCGCGTTCTGTCATGAAAACAAATCGATTAGCTGATAGATGGATAACAATGATTGAACGTACTCGAATGCGCAGGAGAAATGATGTCTGGCTTTGCTCTCTTATTGGGGGAATAATCTATGCTCTCTGATGACTTTCTGCGGAGTGAGTCCGGTGACAGAAGCGAAGACGGTGTACTGGGGATTGAAGTTCCTGGAGGGCCAAACGCAGCAAGCCTATTCTTCGCGATTTGAGCACAAGTCCTTCCACAATAGTCATGATTTCCATGTTTTGGCCGCTTGTGACATTGCTACAGAGAGTTATTAGAGGCCATACAAAGACATTGGGGGGCGAGAATAATACGCACGACACACATACTTGGGATCTGGACTGTCATCTTTGCTTGCTTAGCGTACGTGGCACAAGTCCTTCCACAATAGTCATGGTTCCCATGTTTTGGTCGCTTGTGGCATTGCTACAGAAATATATTGGAGGCTATGAAATGAGATCGGTGATGAATGATACTGACAATGCATAAATTTGGGGTCTGGGCTGTCGCCTTTGCTTGCTTAGCACACGTTTTACCGCAGTAAGGATGGTTCTGATACTTTGGTCTTTGGTGGCAATACTAATAAAGGGCATGTATTAGCACCGGCTTTAGAAATGTTACATATCATGCCAACCTCGCAAAGGGCTGTGTTGGTCGGTGTAGCACGATGGGTGGGGACCTGGTTCTTAGTCGAGCTTTTTTTTGCCAGGAAGACACTGTTAGCGCTCATCATTGCGATATATATATATAATGGCTTACGGAGAAAGAGCTGTCGCCATCATTGTTTTGAAAGCTCCATAAACAGAAGGCTGGCCTGCGCCACCTGATTCTGCTCCTGCAATAATGATGAAAAACAGAACAACGTGAATGGTATAGTGACATACTTAATCTCTTTCGCAATCGCATCAACGACTTTCCTAGCTCGTTACGGCCTCGACCATCGGCCCCTATACCCCAGAAGGCATCTTTAGCCGAGTCCTATACAAAATGTGAGCTTATGTGAATTTGACAATAAGGTACAAAATACCTCGACGAGCTCTGCGTTTCCGGTTCCCATAAGCTCCGCAAGTAGGTCATTGTGTTGCGTAAATTTATGGTAGAGTGTTTCATCCATCTAAAGCGATTGCCTTAGAGCGAGTCCCACAACATAGTAGAGCACATCACACCTTTTCTACATTAACCTGAAGCCAGTCTGGGCGGACGTCGGCTTGAAAGCGACGAGCTTCTTTGAACACATCGCTAGGTCGGGTGGAGAACGTCCTTAGATGTTCAGCAAGGTCAGGTCTGTGCCCTTGAAACTTGAAACCAAATCGTTAATCGGCTCGAAAAAACAATATAGGGTTGCTGTTTACCTTGAATGACTGGAAAAGATGTTCGCTCGTCGGATACAGTTTGCCTTTGTAATTCACTGTGTGGGCCGAGAAGTTGGTAAAACCATAGTAGGGGTCATTTCTGTCGTAGAAGAGAATACGTTTCACGCTGAAGACACGAGCTTAGCATCATTGAGGTTCAATGGGAATGGAACGTGGAATACCTTGGGCTATAATCATGGCTATCGCTGCTAGGATAACTAGCGCTTGGAGAGATTCTGTCGTCGACCTCCATGGCATCATCGACCGGAGGCCTAGTTACAAAATTCGGAAATAATTGCATGAGTGATAATTGTGAGGTAGAAAGCTATCGATACTGAGTACTGAGCGCTGAGGCTGCAAGCAACCTGCGGCACAGTAATAGTAGGTCCGAGTCCTGTGTAGGCGTGTAAGCGGACGTAATGATTATGTAATTTACTGGTATGGTCTGGTCGGTGCATGTCCCACTGACTACTAATAGTAGGACAGCCTTGTGCTAATTTCACCAGCGCCTCCAATGCGTCGTTCTGTGGTGTGGACAACTCGTGCGTTCTTACGTTCGGAACATAGAATTGCGTAGTCGCAAGCTAGCCTTTTAAGCCATTCTCTGCATTGTGATTTCCCATACAGTCCCGCCGTGAAGATGTTTGAATCAGTTGCACAGTGGCTTCAGTCCTTGTTTGCCTCGACAGAACCCAAAGGGCGTTCCACGTACAGAAGCGCCCATACTAATACCCCTGCACAATTCGCCAATCGTTCAGCAGTACAAAAGACCGCCCGAGTGGACGGGCAACAAGCACGTAGACCACATAATAACAATAAAGCTCGCAGTTGGTCCAGACACGGTTCCTTAGGTCGACATATACTCATTGTGTACTTGCAGAGCCGCCTTCTCCGAACAACGGTCGAACACGCATTCTATTTTATGACAAGGGAAAACCTCATTATGGCTTTACTAATTTCTCGCCACATCCTATTCTCTACAAGAGAAAACGATATCCAACGAGTGAACATCTTTTTCAGGCTATGAAGGTATGAGTCTGCAATGAATCATCAGCATTATACTAGTAGTTCTGACAAGAGCCTAGTTCATCGACCACCGCCCTGACATCGCGGAGCGAATCCGTACTTGCTCGGATAAACCCAGCGTAGCATTTGCAGAAGCGCACAAATTTCAGACTTCTGTTCGTCCAGATTGGATGACTGTCAATATTCAGAAGGCATGCATACATGGCGCTGGTCAGAGTTGAAATCTTGCTGACCAACTTTCAGATGGACGAGGTTTTGTGGCATAAATTCACCCAGCATGCAAGCTTGAAGGCTGAGCTACTTGCCACGGGAAACGCAGAACTTGTCGAGGTGGGCACTTCCCTTGCCAGTTAATCCCGCGAGAAATAACGCTTGTCCTAGGATTCTAACAAAGACTCCTTCTGGGGTGTAGGTGCTGATCACCGAGGGCGGAATGAGCTAGGAAAGGCGCTCGAGAGACTAAGAGCTAGTCTACTCCAGGGGGACAAGAAGTACCGCATTTGACATACCTATGTCGTGGAACCTGTGTGAGGAGATGATTTTTCCCACTGTTAGTCCGATGAAATTTCAGCGATGGAAGGCCAATGCAACGTGAACTACAACGTGTAGTTCTCGTGTTACTATGGGTCAAGTTTAGGTTTAACGGATCTCGCGCCACCTGAAAGCGCCCGTAATCTACTATGCTAGCAACTCCTGGCCTACACATTGCTGTCCTTTTGGTATGTTGTGTCGTGGCTTTTCACCCCCGTCCAGCTTTTGATCATGATCATGCCAAACGGGAGGTAGACACGTTCCTCTTTGCAGCATGTAAGCCTCGCGGCACATAATATCAGGGAAACTTCCCGTTTTACACTATCAATGGATTCAGCGATAATCTATTCAGATCAAAAACCCCTGTAGGTTGAAAGTGGCTTAATCGCATTGCATCGTGACCTTTCGGTGAAGATTAGCACACGAGGTCTGGGAGCGGCGTGCATCGTTCACTGTGTGAAAGGCTCCACTGACTTCTTAAGCTCTCCTTATAAACACCTCAGGCTGCAGGTTCTGCGTACGCTACAAGTTCGCGTCTACATAATGGCACCGGCACTCTGTGATGTACGAACTTCACGACATCGCTTAGAAGGATCGTCCATTAACCCATTCCTTACAGAATTGTCACAAAAAACCGAAGTTTAGCACCTTCCAGTATTGCGGTAAGACGTGTGCCGCTGAAGCAACCGCGAAAAACACTGGCGCTGGCCGTGGTGGAAAAGCAAAGGGGGCCCCAACCCCTGGCAAACCAAATAATCTTTGCATCGTAAGTTCCTCCTTCCAGACCTGAGATAAACGCCGATTGTAATTATTCTCCTTGTGTTTTAGCAATGCGGGAAAAAACCAAAGTTTGGCACACATAACTATTGCGGGAAACGATGTGCTACTTTGGGTGCTGCAAACGCCGGGCCTCAACCAGCTCGTCAAGGACGCCAAGTAGCTCCTGCCAAACCCAAAGCGCCAGCGGTCCGGACCCCTGCTGTTCCCGCCCCCACCAAAGCCAATCTGTTTGCTAGTCTCAAGGGTAAGAAGGCGGTCGAGGAGGGGTCAGAATCAGGTAGCTGCCCCGCACTACGGTATGGAGTAACAAACACGCTAACTGATACCCTTGAAGACTTTTCCAGTGATTACGGCGACTCAGATAGTGCAATTGACCCTGATGACTATCCTTCCTCTGATGACCCATCCACTCCTGCAACGCCATCGGGCCGTGGAGCTACAACGAAGAAAATACCTCCCAAACCAGCTACCAAGCGCAATGCACCTGGAACATGTGTCATTCCTGGCTGTGGAAAGCCATCTTTCGTAGACAACAGTGGCGCAACATCTGATTATTGCTCGATTAAGCATCGGGAGTGAGTGTCGAGTTCAGTCCGTGCCTCCTGGCACATTGCTAATACTTGTTGACAGGGAGGCTGTGACGTCGGGCGTTGTACTGGCGTGTATCATGTGTAAACGTTTCCCTCAGAGCGATGCGAACCATTTTTGCAGCAAGGCGTGCAGGGACCAGGCATTAGTCAAGCCTTGAGGGCTTGCTATCCTTGTTAAATAGATATACGATGTGTCGAGTATTTCTTTTGTATTCAGTAATTGAGGCATGATATCCCAGTTTCCACGTAATTGATGTGTTTGTATAATCAAAATAAAATTGAAAACGAAGTCAATCAAGACATACGTGACATCAGAAGCGCACAGCGCGATCAGTCAGTTCATATAAACGAATTA